AAAAATGACCCGTCCCCCCTTTTCGTGGCAAGAAAATGATGCGCTATCATTTCCACACCACCTTGCGGTAGATAGCATGGTGCGCTTTTTTTATAGTGGTTTCCCCCATAGGCCTATTCCACTCTCAATTTAAAAATTATTCAAAATGCCATTTACTATACGCTGAATATATCGTAAATGTAAAAAATTAATGGACAGTACCTTTACAAAAATTGATTCGTGGTTGAAAATCCCTCGATAAAATGCACACGTTGATAATGTGATACGATGATAAAATTCTTCAAGAATCCTTTCTTCATCTCGTACACGAAGACGCACTGCTGGACCGGTTATCCCGATATTATGCACGACACACAGTTTCACATAATTATTGCACAACACGTAAAATTGTACGGTCACTTGGTTTTCGTGCACGCCCGAGAAATGATTCCATGTAAATTGCGACCGCACGATAAGTATTTTCTCCCACTAGCCCGTATGCCACAATCATGTCCGTATATTCCTGCGGAGTATACTTCATTTTCACTGGTAATTAACTGCGCGAACATAAGATTTTTACAAAGCGTCTTAGCTCTCGCACGTTGTTGTCAAACTGCGTACGCCAGCAGCACGCAACTACAGCTGAGCGGACATGCGAGTGTAATCATAGTGCGCAGGCGTCGAACTCACACGTACGCTTACACTCACATGTCCGCTCAGCTGCCAGCTGTAGTTGCGTGCTGCTGGCGTACGCAGTCTGGTAACAGCGTGCCAGAGCTAAGACGTTTTAATAAAAATCTTGTGTTTGCGTAGTAAATTAACAGAGAAAATGAAGTGTACTCTGCAGGAATATACGGATATGATTGTGGCATACGGACTAGCGGGAAAAAATACTTATCGTGCGGCCGCAATTTACATGGAATCATTTCTCGGGCGTGCACGAAAACCAAGTGGCCGTACAATTTTACGTGTTGTGCAATAATTATGTGAAACTGAGTGTCGTGCATAATATCGGGATAACCGGTCCAGCAGTGCGTCTTCGTGTACGAGATGAAGAAAGAATTCTTGAAGAATTTTATCATCGTATCACATTATCAACGTGAGCATTTTATCGAGGGATTTTCAACCACGAATCAATTTTTGTAAAGGTACTGTCCATTAATTTTTTACATTTACGATATATTCAGCGTATAGTAAATGGTATTTTGAATAATTTTTAAATTGAGAGTGGAATAGGTCTATGGGGGAAACCACTATAAAAAAAGCGCACCATGCTATCTACCGCAAGGTGGTGTGGAAATGATAGCGCATCATTTTCTCGCCACGAAAAGGGGGGACGGGTCATTTTTCGGCGCGGTATTGCGATATATCGCAAACCACCATCATGTCTCGGAGAGCGATCCGCCCACCGCTTCGCCGCGCTCGTAGTATCGGATTACGGTGGGACGACTCTCGTCGCCGCGTGCTTTTACTCACGCAGATTGGTCGATCTTTTTTATTTAATATTTCGTTAATTATTGCGACAATCCCAAAACAATACAGGTCATTTCTTCTTAATTCGAGCCAATCTACTTATTTATTTCATTTTGATCGAAAATCGACGGACACCCTGTATATCTAGGAAAATAAAGAAATTTGAAAAATCAAAGAAAAATAACATAAAAATCTGTTAAAATGCTATCGTATGTATATAATAATGTAGATAGTACAGAATATAATAACAGATAATAGACAGAAAACATCATTAATTTTAAAAATTATTATTTTTATTGTTATATTATATATATTTAATAACATATATACTTACTTTATGAACACAACTAACCCCTTTGTAAATATTTTTTCTTATTAATTTATCAATTCTTTGTATTGCACTGTCAATATAATCTTCGCGATGTCACTTGACAAATAACACTCAAATGACATGAAACATGCAAAACCAATCAGAGCGACGAAAAAGAAACAACAATACATTTCGAGATTTTCGAGATAAACCGATACATTCGAGAATCGACTTAATGCCCTTTTTAGAATAGGATTCATATTTAGTTAAACTATTAACTGCAATAACATTCAATCGTTTTAATCAACCGAAAAATATCTCTTACCTGCGTGTAATTTAAATCTGGACACATGGAAACACTTTCTTCCTGGAAGATGTTTGAAGTGGTATAATCCTTCAGTGATAGTTGCCTTTGTACTAAACCTTTCAATAAAACACGTAAAATTGTTCCAAACATAATTTGCATTTTTCGTAAACGTTTGCACTCAATCGATTTCCATTGAATCCTGAATTAGTCCTGTTTTTCTCACTCTACTAATTCTGATATGTTAATCGAATTGATATTAATTCATATACATACGTATATTTTCGATAAATTCCTTAAAATTCAGTTTGAATCAAACGATAAGTAACGCGATAGTGCGTTTCGGCTAGCAGTCGTAATAGTAACTGACTTAGAATGATGTGGTTAGCAATCACAATAGTAACTGACTTAGAATGATCAATCTCATCACGTGGTGCCACGATATTTTATTAGTTACTTCCGTTATAATTTATTTTTTTCCACGGAGATACTCGCGTTATTTTAAAAAGAATTAAAATCATTAAAAATTGTTTCTCAAAAAAGTTATATATAAAACAAAAATAGTTCTATGTATAAATAAAAATAATTATATGTATATATAATTGTTTAATAAATTTTATTATAAACATTTTATATTAATTTATTTCTAAGTATCTTCCCTTTGACAAAAAGTACGTTTAATATAAAAAGATATTTTGATTGTAAGAAAAGTAATAATGGATTTTAAAAAAGAATGATTTATACGTTTTATGTATATTTACATAATGCAGTTTGAATCAAACGATACATAACACCGTACTGCTTTTGTTTTAATACAAATAAGTAAAAATTTATAGTAGCACATACATAACTAAAATAAATAATATAATTAATTGTATGAGACATTATTATCATTATTTGCATTGAATAACCTTATAATATAATATACATATTATATATATATATATATATATATATATATATATATATATATATATATACAGGGTGTCCCATTTTAATCCATCCAGTCGAATATCTCGAAAACTAAGCTCGGGAGAGAAAAATGTTTCAGACAAAAGTTGTTTGGTTTCGAGGGAGCCATAAGATGGTACCATTGGTTTGACTTTGAAGAGTCATTTGAAGGTCACGTGAAGGTCACCTCAATCTTTTTAAATGGCACCTCCTATTTTTTATTACATATTCTTGTAGCTGACCTCGAAAGCTTTCCAAAACGCTATAATAAAATATTTTTTCATAGAGTACTTTTCGATTTATGAGGCTTGAAATCATTCCTTAATTTTACATAAACCGTAATATATCTAGTAAAATATTCATTTTTCGATTATCTTGCCTTAATACTTTTATTTACAAAATAATGAGAGAAATCAATTGGTATAAAAAAAAACAGTTGTTTCAAAGAAAAATGTAATTGTTAATTGCAAATTATACATATTTTTTCTTAAAAATAACTATGTGTTTTCTTTACACCAATCGATTTCTCACATTATTTTGTGCATAAAAGTATTAAGGTAAGATAATCGAAAAATGAATATTTCACTAGATATTTTATGATTTATGAGTAGAATTAAGAAATTATGAGTAGATTTATGAGTAGAATTAAGAAATTATTTAAGCCTCATAACTCGAAAAATACTCAACAAAAAAATATTTTATTATAGTGTTTTGGAAAGCTCTCGAGGTCAGCTACAAGAATATCTAATAAAAAATAGGGGGTGCCATTTAAAAAAATTGAGGTGACCTTCACGTGACCTTCAAATGACTCTTCAAGATCAAACTAATGGTACCATCTTATGGTCCCCTCGAAACCAAACAACTTTTGTCTGAAACATTTTTCTCTCCTGGGTTTGGTTTTCGAGATATTCGACTGGATGGATTAAAATGGGACACCCTGTATATATATATATATACGATATATATATATATATATATATATATATATATATAAAACTTATATAATATAATTTTAATTAATATTAACTTAATATAATATATTTAATATATATAATATAATATAATAAAAAATTTTTTAATATTAATTACTTTATTATTTTAATTCTACTATTGTAATTTTATATACGACAGTGTTTATTATGCACCAGTGTGCATTAGTGCATCCAATCAAATTCCCTTTTTTTCCCGCTATAAATCAATTACTTTATTTCCAAAAAAATGTGATAAACACTTTAATTACGTGAAATATAATTGACTTTATATTGGTAAAGAGACATTTTGCATAAGAATATTTTTAAAAATATAAACATTAATATAACGGTCTCTTTTTAAATTCATGCATAATACTAGATGTATTTTCAAACATTTTACAAATTTATAAAAACTTTTTACTCATCAACAAAGATATATATATGTGGACGAATTTTTTCGAAATGATAGACCGTACTTGTGTGAATATATATTTATACATTATTAGCTTTATTAAACAGTTATTGCAGATAAAACAATAAATATAGTTCATTTTCACAACTGCGTACTTTTTTAATCATCAATATAATTTGAATATATAGTAAGTTATTAAATAAATAGATATAATATATTTATATTCTTAACTCGAATAATGTAAAAAATTCATATATGTTAACTGTTATAAACTCAAAAATAATTATATTATTATATTTATATATTCACAATTAATTATAGAGGATATTATTCACGTTTCCTCTTTCACTCATAAATTTTACAATCAGTTTGTAATTATCGGTCATATATAATGTCGAAAATTAATTATATTATATGTTCAAAAAAATATTGTTTATACATATACATATATATAATCACAATCATAAAATTTCTCTTCGATTACTCAAAAACACAAATAAGATATATAATCGTATTATTTGATTTTGTACAATCATGAAAACGAATGTGATATTTTTTAATAATAATCAAAATTGTATGGAAAGTAATATTACAAAATGAAATTTCATTGATACATGTAACATTAAGATTAAACATAAAAATAATCAGATCAGAATCAATTTAGAAATATCCTAGAAATATTTTTTCTACATTAAGATTTATTGAGTCGTTTGGAAAATAAGATAAGCAATCATTTAAGTATATCGGCTAAATAGTATCGACTGGACTTAGTAAGGCATCTTCTATGTTTTTTCTTAATGCTATAATATTTTTCAGACAAAATTTGAAATTTGGTCTAGCATCCGCTGCACACCAGCAACTTAGCATCAACTGGTACAATGGTGACGGACAGTTAAGAGTCATCGGTAACCTGCCTCCAGCACGTACATAATTTACCACTTCTTCATTAGTCTTGACACTATAAGGTTGCTCACCCAACGATGTAATTTCCCACATTAATACCCCAAATGACCAAACATCGCTTTGAGAAGTAAATTTTCTGATCATCAAAGATTCGGGTGCCATCCAGCGAACAGGAAGCAAAGTTTCTCCTTCCTAAAACATGATTTTAACAAATCTTTAATTTTCTGGTTCAAGTTGTTCATTTTTAGAATATGTGCAAAATAAAAAACGTTTATTTATTTCTTACTGTATATAAAAAACTGTTTATATTCTATATTACTTAAAGAAACAATGCAGTATACTATTATGATATAAAAATGAAAAGTATTTTAAAAAGAATTCAATTTTTAATCAATAAATATTTTCATATTTGTATTTACCAAGCGATAATAATCATCCTTGTAAATATCTCTAGCTAGCCCAAAATCTCCAATTTTGATGACACGATCCTCGCGATTTCTCGAAGATACTAAACAATTGCGACACGCTAGATCTCTATGTACGAAACGCAACTCTTCCAAGTAACAACAACCTCGCGCAACATCTTCGCACATAGCGAACAAATCTTGCAAACGCAGAGCATGCGAATCTGACATTTGCAAATTTCGACATTCTCTCAAATACTTTAACAGGTCACCAATTTCCATCAATTCCAACACTAGTAACGGAGAATCTCCATCTAAACAAACGGCCAACAGTCTTAATATATGTTTGTGTCGAAAATGATTCATAAGCTTGGCTTCCTTTATCAATTTCTTTTTCTCATAGGAAGAAGCATCCTTTCGAAGCGTTTTTATTGCAACGGATATCTCTGTACCCGATCTTTCTAAGTTTTTCACCTTTCCGTGAAACACCTGCAAAATATTTCACACAAATTTACATACGTACTTCATTAGAAAATGTGTATAATTTAATGTCAAGTAATATTATATTTTACTTTATATTAAATAATTTAGCAAACTATATAATAAAGTGCATATTTGTTGTCTCATCTAAATTTTTCATATTACTTATATATTTTATATTACTTATAATCTATTATAAAAATTTATGTAATTTATATCTTTATTAGAACATACATATCTGTTTTGTTGATCCAGAAATTGTTTTGAAACATTGCTTAAAAGATTAATTTTTACCTTTCCGAATTCGCCGCTACCAATCCGTTTTGTAAGTGTAATCTGTTTACGTGCGACTATAATTATCTCACATTCATCCGGATTATAATGTAACATAGGACTAAAAATCATATTGAATTGAGTGTTTCGGCAAGGTAGAATCGCCAATTCCATATCGATTGGTGAAGACAAAAATTGTTCATTATTACCTCTGCTTTGACGATGCACTAAAATTTCGAGTTAATTATGTAATAACATGTATTATAAAATCTACTGTTTTTTTAATAAATTTAATCGTTTAGTTTTATATAATTGAATTACTATTTTCAGTAAATTTCTAGATATTTTATCAGATATATATATATATATATATATATATATATATATATATGTATAATTTACAAATCAAGTCGATAGCCAAATCAAACATACTTACAATAATAAAAGTAGCAGACGCAGATTATAGTAATTATAACGATAAAACTTAACGTGAAAAATAAGTAATATTTTTTCACTGTTATTCCAGGAGTGCTCGGAATATCTATATTAAGCAAAAATATAATTTTAATATCTTCGTCTGTGTATGTTTTTACAAATTTATTTTTACTTATAACATTAATACAAAATATAATTTTTGGTCTATTCATATCTAAAAAAATTAGAACGTAATATCTATGCAGCACAGAATGTTACAACTACTTTGCAACAATATTGCAATATTACAAATATATTTTCATTTTATTTACGAATACGATATTAATCCTCAAAGATAATATATCTTTTTATTATAATAAGAATAGATACTATTATATCTGTCAGTATATTTTTCTTTGCATTTTTATGTATTTTTCACATGTAAATACAAATATCAATTTCACAAATAAATATAATTATAACGAATTTTTTAAATTTTTAAATAAAAATATAATGAGTAATGTATAATTAATTCTATCACTAATATATATATATATATATGTGTATAAAGTACCCATTATAAGAGTATATAAACATTTAAAATAAGAAAAGTGATTTGTAAGTAAGAGTTTAAAGTAATTTTGTATAAAAATATAACATTTTATGTTGTGTACATATATGATTATGTTTAAATACAATTTTGCAATATATTATCTTAGATATTGCAAACTTCTATTTATATCGAGCTTTTTAATTTAATTAAATGTTTCCAAGATATTTATCCATCGAAAACAAAAATATGGTTGCAATTACATTGCATTTTTTCCAATATATTACACTATAATATTACTACAATGTTTCATTGCAAGAAACGAACAGCTTAACTTCATCACAGTCTTATAACAATAACACAGCAGAGTTTCGCATTCGATTTGCAATATTGCAATGTTTCAATGAAATTATTCTTCAATAAACCTTAATGTGCTACATAAGTATCTTCGTTTGCTTACCAAGTGTTGAAAAAATAAATCTTTCATCAGCCGGCCATATAAAAGTTTCCTCAAATTCGAGATATCTCAATATCAAGCGAAACTTGTATAAAGTTCCCGATTGTAAATTTTTGACATGGTACATTACTTTATTGTTATAATTTATTTCAGTATAATTCATTGTTTGCCACTTTTCTGCTGCAATATCTTCGTACTCTAGTGTAAAAAAGATCGTCGAATTAATGTTGGAGATCCATGAAATGTTCATGCTATTTATGTCGACCTCGCTCAAAGTAATATTGTTTGGTTCTGAGGATATGTGAATGATCTCGTTTAAACTCTCGTTGTAGAAATCGCTGAAATTAGTTGGATACACACGCACGTATATGAAGTAATTTTGTACTGGTAGCGACAAGTTAATCTTTGTGAAAAATCTGCCATCTACCATACGTTTCGGCATATTAATAAATAGTTTGCTCTTTTGTTGAATGCCGTTTACTAATATAACTGACTTCCAATGCACTTCGTAGTTCACGCTCACGCAGTTTAATTGCTTGGGTGGCATCCAATGAACTACTGCTACAGGAGGCGTCAAAGCTAAAACACTTATGTTTTCTGGTGCATTAAGCTTGCCTGAATTAGTTTTTAATGTTATCACATTCGAATTGATTGGATTTATTGATAATTGATCAAAGTAAAAATTGCTTAAAGTAAACTTCAATTTGTACTCTGTAAATGGCATTAAGTTTTGAATCTCGTAATGTCGCTCGCACGTCACATATTGCAGCACATTGAATTTTTTAGACTTGTCTAGGTTGTTGTCTAAACAATGGCTTATAGAGATAGTATATATAGTAGTTGGTAAATTATATTTTTTGCATCCACTCTTTACAACCGGCTCCGGAAGATTTACAACGATGCTGTTTGCCGTTGCATTCATATTCTCAAAATTGTAAACTTTTTCGTCAGGTGTTAGACATCTCATTGGAGGATATGGTTGTACAGATTTATCTAAAGCGTAAAATTTATAAATGATTTGTTCTGAGTATATTTTCGTTTCGTATTCGGCTGCATTTACGCTCTTGAGACTTGCATATATCTTTTTCAAAGTATAAAGACAAAATTCATCGCTATAATCATCACATGCTAAAATGTAAATGTTTCTTTTGTCATTCGTCTTAGATACGAAACTGGAGATATCACTTATGTTTTCCTTGTATAAAATCTTACTGCATATAGAAGCGTTAGTGTCTGTCACAAATATGTGATTATAAAGAAACCAGTAAGCTAACGGCTCCTCATTATTTATGTTTTCATTTATTCTATAAACATATGTATCTTCATCATGAAATAGGCACAAGAATGTATAGTCGAGTGATGTCAAATCAATTTTCTCAAATTTTTTATCGGAATTATATTCTATTATACTATATTCATTATTCGCCCAATTGTATGATAAGTAACTTAAAATTCTAAAAAATATGTAATAATTTTACTCTCATTTTTACTTTGATTATAAAACATTATTTTAACAGAAAACAAAAATTTGTTTGTAGTGAAAATTCGAAATTCTTATAATTATATTATAACCTATTATTTTTTTTACTTATGATCTTAATTGTAAAATCACGTAAAATTATGGAAAAATTACAAATATGCATAAATCTTTAATAGAAAATTATTTTTTCAGGTGAACGGTAGTAAACGTACCCCATAGACGGTAACACTTTTAAAATGACAATATTAACGTTTGATGATTTGATAATCTCATCAAATTTAATTATGCCATTTTCCCACATTGTTAAGTCGAACTTTACAGTATAAGAGTAGGTTTCATCATCATACCCATCGTATCCATCATACATGAAATATAGATTTCTTGCTACCCAGTCAATGCAGAGATTATATAGATACTTATCAAAGCTAGCTATTTTTGTGATATTATTTTCATTAATCTTCAATGTCATTAGGTCTTTTTCGATACTCCAATAAATTCTATGTTCTTGTATCGAATAAGTGACATATCCTACATATCTGAAAAAAAGGAACCAATTATAATTGTATAGTAAAAAGTTATAGTTGAAATTTCTAATTTTATAGTTACTGCTGTAATGTTGATAATAATAAACATGTGCATAATAATAATAACTTTAATTTCATATTTAGTTTTAAAAATAATTTATGATAAATATAACTGTTTTTTTATCAGTATACGTACTCTGACGTTAAGAAATTAGTAATGTTTAAATCCATGTCCAATATTTGCATGCCATTTCTGGATGTGAATAATAATTTAGGTATTGGATTTTCATGTGTAGTCGACACATTGATTAAATCCGTGTAAGGACCAGCAACAATTTTAGTATGCGCACGTACTCGAAAATAATATGTTGTGTTAGATGTTAGATTGTGCACTGTGTGCTCCAATTTTGTAGCTGTGATATTTTTATCGTCGCAGGTTTCTTTAAAGTTCTCGAAGAAAGAACACTGCACTTGGTACACTTGTATTATTTCATCGGCAAATTTTGGTTTTTTCCATCTATGAAAACATAAAATTTTAGCAAAACGAAAAGCAAGGCTAAAAGAACATGGCGCAAGATGTCAGAGCGTAAAAAAGTCGAAATAATAATAAAGACTCTAAGTAAGAGACATAATATATTAATAATCAGTCAGATATAAAAATATAAAAAATATGTCTTAAAAAATTGATTCGAGTGAACAGAAAATAATACATACGTTTCGATCTTTTCAAGATTTTTTTCAATGTCGAGATGTCGTTAGAAAATAAATTAAATTAAATTTAAATTATATTAAAATAAATTAAAATAATAAATTGAAATAAAATTTGAGCCATTTTATATTTTAACAAAATTATAACAGAATTATCATTTTGATATATTTATGTCGTTAAATTTAAGAAAAAGAAAGAAAAATGGAAGAATACAAACTGAGAATTTAGACTTCTTACCTCAATGTCACAAAAATGTCGTTTACTTTTTCTGTAAATTGACTGTCGAATTGTACAAATGCTCTGAGAGATATTGGCTTGCTCAAACTGCTTTCTAAAGATTTTAAGATTGTACACATTAACACAGTTATATATAAGATTAAGTGGATTATCTCAGTAAATCAGAAAAAACAATTTAATGTGAAAATAACGGAAGAAATAATAAATACACTACAAAATATGGAAATTAGCATAGTATTGAACTTTAAAAAGATAATATAAGAATTTTTTGCGTCATTTAAGATTTAGAAAAGTAATCGTTAATTCATGGCAAAAACGAATAAATAATTCTTACTAAAATGACAATTACTTTTCGAAAAATTCTTATAGCTTAAAAAATCAGAAGTATAATATTTGCTTTAAAACAGAGTAACATATTAATAAAATTTATTTTATCTTAAATTATAACAATTTTTATGTATAATGTTATGTTTATATTATGCTTTTCTGTTTCTTTTTAGAATTAAAATTTATATTCTTTTCAATACTGGAAGATATTTTTAGATTTGATTGCTACTCTCTCTTGAATTTAAATTATATTTATACCTTTTTATCATAAATTTTATTATTAATGTTTTATTTTTTTGCAACTTACCGATAGATTCTGGAATGATAGAAATATTTGCAAGTATAACTTTATCGACTTCCCGCTCATTTCTCACAGTACTATCAAAATGGCTCCGGTCAGATTTGAATTTTAGTATATGATGCTCACTTTTCTCGGACATTGAAATATCCTTCATAAAGTATAACATATGAAAAGAATTAAGTGAATATTATTGAGGCGATTGTTTCTGGCTTTTAATGATAAATTACATAATACAATATATTAAATTAAACAAAAAATTGCCATTCGTTTTTGGTTTACTTAATAATACCGTTTTGATATATACCATTTCTAAATGATATAAATTGAATGTGATGTATTGTAGTTTTATTCATATCATAAAATCTATTTTATATTTATTTTTTTTAAGACATCTTGTATATCAAACATACTCATATCAAAAGGAAAATCAATAAATAGGTTAACGAGAATCAATGAGGATTCATAACAGCTTTTGTCAAGTACAAACGAAAGTGTAGCTCTTTTATTAAAACAATTTTGTCTAACGTTTTGATTCTTTCTCACGATAGGTTAGTTAACTCAATTCAATTATACCGTAACGCATATTTCTATTTAAAAATTTGCCGATATTATTAAAGTTTTACTTCAGATTATATAAAGATATTAAAGATATTATTAATGATATTATTAATGTTTGTACTTCAAGAATAAAAAGATTAAAAATATTGTTGCTTTACAGTTATTAAATATTAGTCATAGAATTATAAACATAAATTCTTTTATTTATTACTTTGTCAAGTTTTTTCGCGAATTGTTTCGAATGTTCGTTATATTTTTAACACAAACAAATTTAGTAAATAATAAATATAAATCGATAGTATAAACCGATAATGTCTCGATAAGAATATGTGTATATAATTGTATATAAATGGATATATGTACAATGAAAATTAATATAAATTCTTGTGATAGTTGTTGAATATATTGTCGATCGAAATATTAGTGTTAATAGATACAACTTGAAGAATGTTTAACGAATGATCTTTTTATCAGATAGATTTTCTATCTCGATATTTAGTAGCTCTGTCCCGTTATATAATTATCCTAAACCCAAAGAAATGATGCTAACTTTCTAAATTAATTTTATAAAATAAAATTATATATATATATATATATATATATATATATATATATATATATACTTTATCCATCTTTTTTTACAACATCGTACATTCTTTTTATTTCATATTGAATTATTTTATTATATCTTATCTTATTATATGTAGAATATATAATTTATTTTTATTTATGTTTAGTTACACTACTAACTGCAATAACATTCAATTGTTTCTTAATCAAACGAAAATATCTCTTACTTGCGTGAAATTTAATTCCGGACGCATGGAAACATTTTCTTCCTGGAAGATGTTTGAAGTGGTATCCTTCGGCGTGATAGTTGCCTTTATCAATACTAAACCTTTCAATAAAATACAGAAAATTGTTCCAAACATGATTTGCATTTTTCTTAAACGTTTACACTCAATCAGTTCCCGTTGAATACTCAGGTAATTGTTTTTCTCACTCTGCTAATTCTGATATGTTAATCGAATTGACATTAATTCATATATATAAATTTACTTTCGATAAATTCCTTAAAACTCAGTTTTAACGAATCGTACGTTATTATCTTCTAATATTATGTTTTTAAATTTCTCTTTATGGTCGCGATCACTATATATATCTTAAGATAAAATTAGGAAATTTTTAGTAAATAAATAATTTTTTTAAGAGATAAAAATGGCAATGCAAAATGATACAAAATGATCATTTGATTGTATAGCGAACAAAGGAATATAATTATCAGCTTTCATTTATTAATATTATAATAGAAAAACGTCGATAAAAAATAACCACAATCAAATTACAAACGATCAGAGAAGTTATAGAATTATAGATCTTGTAACATTTTCAGCCATATTCAAGCACACGCAGCGTGTAATCGAACTTCACTTGAATATTTATTATATCTTTGGTTTTATTAAATATATAATTATGACATTTCGTTCGTACGATTGTGTTACTACGTATGCTTTTAAAATCCATTATTCGTACACAATTTTTTATGATATTCATATGATGCAGTTTGAATCAAACGATAAGTAACGCGGTAGTGTGTTTGGCTGGCGATTACAATACTAACTGACTTCGAATGATCAATCTGATCATGTGTTGCCATGACGTCTTATTAGCTGCATTCCGTTTGTAATTTATTTTTTTTCACGGAGATACTCGCGTTATTTCAAAGAGAATTAAAATCTTTAAAAATTATTTGATAAAAAAGTTATACATGTATAAAACAAAATAGTTCAATGTATAAATAAAAATAATTATATGTATATATAATTGTTTAATGAATTTTATTATAAACTTTTTATATTAATTTATTTCTGAGTATTTTCTCTTTGGCATAAGATGCACGTTTACCATATAAAAAGATATTCTGATTATAAGAAAATATAATAATCGATTTAAACAAGTGATTTATATGTTTTCTATGACATTCATATAATGCAGTTTGAATCAATACATATCGTTTTTAATATAAATCTTGTAGTTCTAGTATAAATAAATACAAATTTTTAATAGCACATAAATAACTAAAATAAATAAAATAATTGTACGAGTTATTATTATCGTTATTTGCATCGAATAAACTTATAATAACGTATATAATATAATTTTACTTAATATTAACTTAACATAATATACTTAATATAATATATAATATAATATAATATAAAAAACTAATAATATTAATTACTTTATTATTTTAATTATATTATTGTAATTTTATATACGACAATTTTTATATACACCAGTGTGCATTAATGCATCCAATCAAATTTTCTCTTTCCCCCATTATAAATCAATTACTTTTTTCAAAAAAGTGATTTTCTAATGCTCCGGTCTCCTTTTGTGTCTTATTCAGTCCATTCATATATTAAATGATATACAACATTTTTATTTTCGAAACTATTTTTATACTTTTATAGAAACATTCTGCTACGAATAATTAAGAATAATACTGTGTGTCAAGAATAACAAAGAATAATTAAACAAGTATTTATATAATGGTCTCTTTTTTAAATTCATGCATAATAATAGACGTATTTTCAAATATTTTATAAATTTATAAAAATTCATTCCCTCACAGCAATGATATATGTATGTACAAAGATTTATATATACAGTTCGAAATAGGAAAAAGCTCCAAAACATAATATAAAAAAAGTTTGAAAAGAAAATTACAATTGTGTGTTAACATTTACGAATTTACAAAATGGTTAATATTAAAAAGTGTGCAGATCTTATATAATATATAAAATACAAAAGTACACATGTTGAATATCTAATAAGTATCGTATGAAAACAAACATTCAAGTAATACATTCTATTAATACATGCTTATTTATCTACAATTTTTTCTTCATTAATTAACAATAAGTTATTTCTATCAGTTAGATAATACATATAACAATAATATTTATTGGATTCAATATATCATCTCTTTTACGTCACTTCTTAGAACTACAATATTTTCGAGATAAAATTTAAAGTTTGATTTAATTTCCGCTGCATTGCAACTAGACAGCATTGATATCAAATGGATAGTTAACCTTTAATTACGTCAATAGATGACGAAACACAATGTTTTATGACACGTGACTGTCGTCAATAAATAACTTTAAGATATGCTATGATGCCCGAGATAGCATACATTCGTTTTATATACGTTTTTTAGACGTATCCGATATTTTTTATTCGTAAAACATTAATAAGAAACACATTACACGAAAAGAAGGATTAAGAGCCACCGCGGATGGTAGTGCGTAAATTTTTTCTTAAAGAATAATTATTCGCAAAAATTTAAAACGTGCACAAGGCTTATTTATATATTTTACTTGGTGCATTTACCAAGATATAAATTCTCAAATTTTGAGAATTCTATAGACCCTTCTTTACTCCCTAAACAGATGTAGACGAGAAAAATATCGGGGCGAAGTCGCTGAATCGAGAAATAAACCAGAGTCTTTCATTTGCCGGACAACTGCTCTTATTACTGAGCTATTCGGCCTCACACCTTTGGGTGGATGTTGGATTGATGTGAAATGAAGAAATATTTTATTATAGTGTTTTCGAAAATTCTCGAGATAAGCTACAAGAATAAATAATAAAAATAGGAGGTTCCGTTTAAAAAATTAAAAGTGACTTTCAAACAGCTCCAAGGTCAAACTAATGACACCATCTTATGGCTCCCTTTCAACTTTATAACTTTTGTCTGAAATATTTTTGTCTGCCGTACTCAATTTTTGAGATATTCGTCTGATACGGATGGTCTGCGATACCCTGTATACAGGGTGTTTCCAACAATACACATCAGTCAGGTTGCCTATCTGCCCACCGGGGCATGCTATTATTGGTCTCACAAAATCAGATCAGAATGCAAGTTTG